AGGTTTTTCTAGAGAGAGAAACGTGGACAAAAAGATGTTGAACTCTTTTGTAGAAAAAAGGGAGCTTGTAGAGAAGATTGAGGGTTAGGAATTGGGGGTTTTGTAACAAAACCCTAGCACCATCATTTGGAGCTCATCTTGGGCCATTTTTGTCAGCATTTCTTTGCGCCTACTGTGAATCGAATAAAGGAGTCGACTGTAGGTGGTTTTATGGTAGGAAGTTATTTGTTTGAGCATTCCTTGATATTGTATGAGGTAACTCTATAAAATCTCAATCTTGTAAGTTTTCCTCTTGATAGTGAATACACATTTACCGTCTTGCCCGTGGACCATCTTGAGTGAACCACGTATATGTGCATGTCCCTCTTTATTTTTATTTGTGTTGTGCTTGGATGATTTTCCATAATGCTTGATTTATTGTTTTTATATTTTTTCCAATTATATTGCACTTGTTATTGCATCTTGGGCATATTATTTGAGTGTTTAAATCATTGTAGTGGGGTTCCCCATATCTAGTAAGATTTGAGATATTCCGATTTGCTCAAAATAGGTGATTGGGTTATCTCGATTTTACAACAGATTTGAGTGGGTCAAATTATAAAAAATGTCCTCCCTTGTTCAAGTTGCAAGCTAGGAATACAAGCAATTTAGATATTTTTTAACAATTTGTTGAGGAAGTACCTATTAAATAAAATATTTTTTTAAAAGTGTAAAAGCTTGCAACCTTAGTTGTTGAAGTAAGGTTATGGTATTTTATATAATCAATTTTAGTTTGACGGTGTAGATTTAATATATTTTTAATGCGGCACAAAAAAGTAATACAATTATTAAGATAGTATCAAATTTATACCATTCAGATAAAATGGACAGATCACCGCAACCTTACTTTTACTAAGAAAGTAGCAACCTTATATAAAAAATTTCCAAGTTTAAAAAGGTAATCACTTGGTTGGCAAAAATTGTTAATCTAACTACTTCCAATTATTTATATGGTTTGATTAAGTGTTTACAAACTCAACCGATCCAACTCAAAACTGGCCAATCAAATTGGAACCAGTCACTATCCAATCCGGCTTTGGTGGTCTAGTTGGGTATTTAAAAATAAATAAAACAAAAAATATATAAAATCCTAAAAATAAGGGATTTGTTTGCAATGTGTTTTTTACTTTTTTTTTTATCATTTTGGCAAAGATTGGAAAACATTTTGGCCATGAATTATTTTTGACATTTTTCATAGTTTTTGAAAAAATTCAAAAGTACCCCAAGGTACAAGTCAATTTTTTGAAGGGAAAAGTTTATATAGAGTCGAGGCTCTAAACAATCAAATTTGAGCCTACCTCAAAAATTTCACTAGAAGATGTTGTTTTAATGCTCATGTATCTTCAACTTGATCATCTCGACATCAAGAAGCATGGGCATGACAAAAAAATGGATTTCAAGATTTGGAAATAGTGGATTTGTAACACATTTTTAGACTGTCAATTTTCAAGATTTTCAAGTTTTTTTAGATCTATCGATCTACATTATTTTTTAAGCTTTAAATTTTATAAATAAACATAAAAATATATTTCAAGGCTATGTCAAAGACTTCCAATAATGAAACCACATTTCTCGATACTATTTGAAGGTAGGCTCTAATTTGATTGTTTAGAGCCTAGGCTCTATACAAACCGCACTTTTTTTTAAAATCTGTTTTTTTTTTTCACTAATTTTCAACTTCATTTGGATATACTTTTTTAATCACACTTTAAATATACTTTTTATATATTTTTTAGATTTTTTTTATTTATTTATTTATTTATGTGGATTTATCATGACATGCCAAGTTAAACCGGTTGAATAACACTTACTCGGAATAAGACAAAAGTACAAGAAGTCCTCAAAGAGAAGGAAAACGTACAGAAGAATGGCAGTTCAACACGTCCCATTGACGAATATGGATCATAGGATCGAGCATGCCGTGCCCACTGCTCTGTCTCTGTAGCTCTGCATTACTCTCTCTCTCTAGCTCTGCATTACTCTCTCTCTAGCTCTGCATTACTCTCTCTCTAGCTCTGCATTGCTCTCTCTAGCTCTGATTTCTCTCTCTCTCCTTTTTTTTCCTTCTCTCTCTCTAAAAAGCATGGGATTTGCTCCTCTCTTCCTCCTCTTTTTTACACGTCTTTCATGGATCATTCTTGGAATGCGTGGAACGTAAGTCGAGTTGAACCCATATGGTTTTCGTACGAACAATTAGTTTCTCTCTCTAGATTTCTAGCCCATAGTTTCTCTCTTTAGATTTCTAGCCCATTCTACTGGTTAGGGTTGGGCCTAGGCCATGTACTTCTCCTCCAAAGAGAGGCGGCCTACGCACTCTATATTTTAGACTGCCCTCCACAGGTATCACACTCTGACCTCAGTTCATCAGGAACATGCTCCAATAACCAAATGACACCGAGGACTGCTTTTATCTCAATTTTTTGAAACAACTTTGGATTAAAAAAAAAGGGATTTTAGGTTCTTAAAATTAAGAAATATGAAGTTCCTATAAGGCTTAGGTTTTATGAAAATAAAATAAAGCCCCACTTTAATTTGAAAGTACTTTGGGCGACGTAAATTTTTATGATGGCTCCAAAATTAATTTTGGACACTGATAATAAAATTTAAAACTCAAAAAAATGGTATAGATATTGTGGATATGTGAACAATTGTTTGTAAAGCAAAATGGAAGATCTAGATAATTTGTTGTGATGTACACTATTTTTAGAGTTTGAAATTCGATTTTTTTTTTCACAACTATAATGCTCAAGTTGAGATGATCGATGTAAAAGTTTTTCGATGACTTGAAATTTTTAATAAGTTATGAGGTGAAGGTTTACTTATTTTGATAGGGCTGCCATTTTTCAAATAGGAGAATTTAACAAAGATATCAGTTACTTTTAGTACAAGGAGGTAAAACCAATGATGTTCATCAGATTTCAAATCGAGTGGTTGTGGGTATGTTATTGACTAGACTCAAAATTCAAAACAAATTTATGAATTTTTCAATACACCCAAGTCATCCAATTTGGCATTTAATGACCAGGAGTAATAATGACCTCTATTCAACAAATATAAATAATCTCATAGTATACAAAATAATTAAAGTGGTCTATGTTAAAGATGTTACTTTTAGTTTAGATGTAAAAGTACATATCAAATTCCTTCTCTTTGAGGTAAATATGGAATGCATTATCTCTTAAACACTCCCTTTATCTCACGTGTTATTTTTCAAGTGGATATGAAGTGTATATTAAATGGAATTTTATATAAATAGATCATTTACTTTTTGTACAAAAAGGTCACAACTATTCCACTCATTAAATGTCAAATTGGATGGCTAGCGGTGAGTCATGAAGTTCGAATTTTTTTTTGGAACTTTGTCTCTGATCAATGACACTCTTATGACCGCCCATTATGAAGTCTAAAGGAAAACAATGATTGTGACCTCATTGTATAAAAAGTACATACTCTATTTGTAAATAATCCCACATTCAATTATTGCTTTTTCTGTTAAGTTGGTCATTAGATTGAGGAGGTTATACTCCAAATTTTGGTGTATAATTTAGGCTATAAAATATATGGTGAATTATTTTTTATAGGAAAGGTTTCTATACTTCATCTACGACATAGAATATCTATGCTTCCCCTACCATCCAACCGTCCAATTTTGATCAAGAGAGCGACTCACCGTTTGATCTTAGATCTGATGTCTCAAAGTATTTTATTTTTAGTTTTTTTTTATACAAATTGTATGAATATGAAATTTGGTATGTGCTATCTTCTCATTGGGGCGCACCTATAAAAAATATTAAAAATAATTTTTCGATAAAAAATAATGACCAAAATACCCTTTAAATATTTCAGGGGTATTTTGGTTATTTTATTTTTTTTGAAAATATCGTTTTTATATTTTCTTCTAGTGCGGGTTTAATAAAGGATTGGACGTCCAAAATCTGGTATCAAAATAGTTTATAGAAAAAACATTCAAAATAAAATAGTGTAGAGATGTGACATTGTGATTGAGGCAATCTTCGCCCTCCATTCAGAATGGAAAGTTGAATTAGGGGAAATACATAAGTTTTATACTTTAGGGGAAGCATAGAAAGCTTCCCCATTTTTTATTAGGTTGGTAGTTAGATTTTAGTAGGTTATATCCCAAAAAGAAAATATGCAGTCGAGGCTCTAAACAATCAAATTAGAGCCTATACCGTAGAAAAAAAAAGCACACCTTAAACTCTCAAATTAATCATCTGGACCTCTAAATGTGTTAAAAAAACAAAAAAAAGAAGGATTTTAAAGTCCCGAAAATGATGTCCGGTTATACATTATCTAGACTCTCTATGCTTAAGAAATTTTTTTTTTTTTTCTGAGTTTTAAATTTCGTAATTAGACCTGAAGTAGTTATTCAGGTCATTATTAAAATTTACAACACCAAAATTACATAAATTCATCGACCTTTGGACGTACATCTTACTAGAATTGTTTGAAGTGGACACCTCATACAAACCACAGGATATTAATATTCCTAGCTAGGGTTTTACTCCAAGGAGTAAGCGTACATTTTTCTCCAGCAGGACCTTGTGGGCTGTAGAAAAAAACCTGCATGTCCTATGCCTGATAAACTGTCTCTCTCCCACTACAAATAATAAAGTAAGTTTAGGAGATAACAAAGAAGACAGTGAAAGTTTAGGAGATAACAAAGAAGACAGTGAACAAACAAACAAACAAACTCCAGCCATGCATGTCTGAGATGTAAATTTTTTTTTTGATTTGATACACATCTTACAACATATATCGTATATATTATAAAGCACACATACTACTACCTCATGCTAGGATCACTGCACATTTCTCTCTTAAATTTCACATAATCCACTCAATTATTTACTCATAAAATAACCAGCAGCAAAGTTGGGCACATTTGTCTGTCTCTCTCTCTTGCTTAATTACTCTGGAGATGCAAATATCTTTTTCTCCCTCTAGCGCCGTCGACCCGCAGTTTCTCTCTGTGCATTCATGTAAACAGCAGCAACAGGTAGGCCTAGGCCGTTATCTTGCGCAAATTTCCTTGTGTTAAAACGGTCTCTACACTCTGGTGCACCAACCGTTTTCCTCCCCTTTTGCTTGAACAAAACGAACACGTACCTGTGTATTCCAATTTCTGGCCTTGGAATCTCATAATTTACCAATTCAGTCCCTATATCACATCAACAACAGTGACCGCACGTTCCTTTCATTCAGCCCACATTCTCCAAAGTTTCACAAGGTAAAAGTTTATATAAGGGATGCAGCCTTATAATGTACAACATGGGATGTACCTTAAAAATCCATCGAAAAAGGTACTTTTAATGTTGAAAAAGCATTTGATTGATCATTTTAATGTATGACCATGGAAAATAAAAAGATTTTAAATCTCATAAATAGTACATTTTACACCATATTATTTATACGGTCCGTCGATTTTCAATATTTTCATATGTTTATAGATCTACTTGATTTTAGCCATTTATTAAATTTAAAATTTTATAATTAGATAAAAAAAATAAATTTTGAGATAATCCTAATAACATTTTACATCAAAATTATATACCATGATAAAATTTGAAGGTACACCTTACCTCTACACCTTCGGATGCATCTATATGCGAACTGCACCTATTTCACAGTAGGTTTTCTTTTTCAAAATTTATTGAAATGGCACATTCTCTTATAATTCATGAGGGAAAGAAAATTAAATGCGGTCTTACGCAAAGGTATATTTTTTACCTCACTTTTATTTAGAGGTCCAACGTGCCTTTTTTTATTTTTCCAATTTTGACTAAGATCTAATGGCATGCATTTAGGATTTAGCACATAAATTCCAATTTTGCCTCAGATCCAATGGCGTGCATTTAGGACTTAGCGCATAAAATTGAGGAAAATTTGTTCCTCCATGTAATACTTCATTTGTTTTACAGTTACGGACATATTTTTCCCTAACTCAAATACTCTTTCATAATTTTATGACTTGTAAATGAAGAGGGACTTTCTATATGTCCTCAACAATGATCAGACGGCTAGCAGTATGCCAACAATAATACCACTATCATGAAACTAGGGTTCTTCATGTTTGTCCATCTTCATGTCAGTCAAGATAGACAAATATGTAGAAACTTTTATTCATCAATCAAAGATGCTAAAATT